ACTCGGGTTTACCTCTTTCTGGTTAACATTATTGGGTTTTCATTTGATCAGCCCTAATTAAGCACTAAAAAAGTTTGCTGAAAGGCAACCTACTGAATCAGATCAAACTTCTCCATTAGCTTGTTATCTCTTAAAAAAAACTGGATAGTAATTTGCCTTACTGATGTAAGGGGCATCCACTCAAACACCCGCTGGATATCCTTGTAAAAAACTACCATCAAAATGAGGTTCCTACACAACCTTTCCAGGATACAAAGCACCGGTGAGGGTCAGTGTCAACACAACAGCATAAAACAGTCAGTGGCTCCCACGACTGTGTAATGCACTGCTATCATAATAACAGTGCAATCATTGTGTTAACCCCTTACCCTGACAAATGCAGGTACATCAAAACAATAACGCTGTCTTTAGTATTAAAGTGTTGCAGGGTTATAAGGTTAATGGTAATGGTTAGGAAAAAACACTGAAAAATACATTAAATATTTCATGCAACCTAGCCCCACTCAAAGTCCAAATGTATTTATCGATTCACATTAAGCCTAACAGACAAATAATTCTCTGTTTCTTTACGTTTGTTTTAGACGTTTGCTCAGCAGCAGTTTCTGGAAAATGACTGCTGGTTAACAATGAACCTTAATGGAGAGTGCATCAGTCACTATGTAACATTTGCTCTGCTGTGTGTTAGAAGACATTCAATTGGGAATTTGGCTGCAGTAAAATTCTCTGTACACAGAGAATAGAAGAAGAATAGAACAATAAATAGATGTAAAGCGCTTACTTGCTGACAAAAAGAAGAGTGCAAAAATGAAGCCACGAGTTTGATTTGCTGCTTTGGACGTGCCAGGACTTTAGGAGGCATTATTTACTTTCCATCTTGTGGAACGTTGTGTTAGAAATGCCTTTCATTTTTGGCACAAGTGTAGAACTTTGGGACATTGCAGATGTGACTTTTACTTACATGTTAACATTAAAAAAAGTAAATAAAAATTCAGAATAACACTTTCGCCTTCTTTTATGTGGAACTGGAACAGGGTCAGTTTGTGTTTTAACTTTAAATTTTCTAGTGAACTCAACTAAGGGGGTGAAATTCTTCGTGAATCAGACTGAGTGACCGTGAAGGCCATAGAATATAATTCACATCATGTTATAATCCTCAGCCTTCAGTGACCAGGTGTGCATTATCGCTGAACAGGCTACGTACTGTTGGCATTCTTTTGGTCCACATTGCATAACCCTCAAGGTTTTCATGGATACGTTTATGTGTGTAAAACAAGCTGTAAATACTAAACTTCACAGCCATTTAACTCCACTAACTAAACTGTACTAACTGATTTTTGTTGGTCAGTCATTGATTTAAATGCTTCTTGCAAACAAAGTTACTAAATCAAAATGGCTTATCATATTAAGGAATGTGAGTGTACTGTGTACATATTTACCCATCATGGTAAAAAAAATTGGTGAACCCTATTGTTTAATATATAAAGGGGTATCTTCACCCTTATATGAATGTGTATGTACAGTATGCATGCTCTGCATAGTTTTTATGCTTGTCCATCTTGTGCACTTGCTCCTCTATCTCCACTGAACACCTTGAGGTCATATCAATTCAGGAAAGCCTGACTGGTTCCTATTTAGATTATGGATGGTTATTACTGCCTCCTGGCTGTCAGTCAGATTAAACCAATATGTCCCGGGATAGAGGCTTATCATCTCACAGAGAGTACCTTCTCCTGGTAAGAAGGAGGGGCCATTTAAATAAGCCATCTCCAGAACCTTCCATGTTCTACAAATTTATTAATGTGGTCTGAAGAAATATCAATGCATCAAGTATTTATTGTACACCAATATGCTTGGTATTGCCCTTGTCTGTCAGTTTACTTTATGGATTTGTCTCAATAATATAGGACTATACCACAAGAATTACACTGTTGTCCATTCCTGTGTTTGCTCCTGCAGTAAACAAATATAATACCAGGTTCAGGGAGGGGAAAGACAAGACAGCGAAAGGAGTGCATGGGAAGGCAAAACACACACTTTCAAAAAGTTAACTGTGTGCATGCAATGTATTTTTGTGTCTACATATGGGAAGAACGGACAATAAGCCATACTGTAGAACAGGGGTAGGTAACTCCAGGCCTCGAGTGCCGGTGTCCTGCAGGTTTTAGATGTGTCCTTAATCCAACGCAGCTGATTCAAATGGCTAAATTTCCTCCTCAACATGTCATGAAGTTCTCCAGAGGCCTGGGAATGAACTAATCATTTGATTCAGGTGTGCTGACCTAGGGTGATATCTAAAACCTGCAGGACACTGGCACTCGAGGCCTGGAGTTGCCTACCCCTGCTATAGAATGACCCACGTAATATTTATAGCTTGTTGGCTAGCAGAACAGCTGTGTTTTTACCACTTTTTGATATAGGCGAACCAATAGATTTTTAATAGATCCAGCCAATGGAGGGAGTACTCTGGTAAGGCTCTAATGACAGCTTTTGACAAGATTTGTTGGATTTGCAGGATTTTATGAATAGAAAATATATCAACATTCAGTTTGTCAGTTAATTTTGAATCAGCATACAGCAATTCTTTGTTTTCTGTTGTAGAGATTTCATCTGATGACTTTGTTTTAACATTTTAGCATAAAATTAGAGGCACTTTCTCAAGAATGTTAGTAACAGTTTTTAAGTTGTGGTTAAGAATGATATTTATTGAAACAATGCCTATCTGGGTAGAATTCATGATAAGAACACAACCATTATGATGCCAATAATTTACTGTTGGCATTAAACACGTCACAATCAGACCTCACATGCATCATAATTCAGACTCCCTCTCTAAGAGGTTCAGCATTAATGCACAACATCATCTCTGCTGCTACTGATTTCAGGAAGTCAGCGAATAATCTGACAACAACAAAAGTGACTCCACCTCGGTTTCCCAGTCAAAACTTTGCACTTTCACCATTTCAGTCTAGCTGAACATGTAGGTAATCTACCTACATGTTCAGCTAATGTTCAATCTAATCTAAAATACAGCAATACATCACACAACAACATCTTTTTTTGCGTCAGAAATTTCACAGACATAAAGGAATGACGTCTTTTATATGACAAAATAAAAAATTAAAAGGATATATTTTTATTATTTATTTAAACCAATAGTCTATTTTTTGTCCACAGTTTATCCTGATGCTCACTGCTGTGGGAAATAAGCTATGTGATTCAGCTAACACTGGGTGTTTTGTTATTTTTATGGAGAACACCAACAATTAGAGACATAAATTTTGCCAACCCACTGTACTTTCAATATTTTATGCACTCTTATGATTCACCACTTCAACACTTGGATGAACATAAAACCCATCCTTTTATGCATCTCTGTCTTCTCAGCATGTGTATTTATGTGTGGGTGTGAATAGTTGTCTGCACTCTGAGGCATATGTTGTTTTTTTTTGCCTTTATCAAGTGTGCAGTTTTGTGTGTGTGCACATACGTGTACTTGTGTGTATGTGTCTGAGGGCTTGCAAGTGTGCGTCTTGACCCTTATGGTAAGGCTGAAGAGAAAACGGGAGCAGAAAGAAAACCACACTAAGTGAACCGTGGAATGCGCTCGGTTTGGGGATTACATTGGCCCGTGTGCATGGTAAAACACAAAGGAGAGCTTCTGCTGCCAGGCAGATGAGAGGTTGAGAAAGTGCTTGGCTTTGACTCTGTGTGGCTTCAGTTGAAGCTTTCTCTCACAGTCAAAGCAGCATTAAAGGCTGTGGTTCACTCTTTAACTGTATCTGTTTATCACATTTATGACTAAGTGAATGATTTTTCCCTTCAGTTTACAGATGCTGTCTTGATTCAAATCGTTTATTTCTGTCTAAAGAGTACCACATCTAGTGATCCACTAAAAAATTTGCTAGACATTTAGGAGATGTGTTGAATGAAATAAATAAAAAGAAAACTTATTTAAAATCCCCCGAGAGCACTTTATTTGATTTCCACATCCAAAAACACCACAGGGAGCAGAACCTGACAGAGCGCTGATGTTTGGTTTATAAAAAGAATAAAATCTGGTCTCCAAATGGTTCTGCGTGTTGTGGCTGGAAATGAAACAGATTTCTCAGATGGTTTTGTATATATTTGCACCTGTGTGCAATGCAGGCACTCTATGTCTGCTTTTCTGCTTATGCAGGCTTCACCCTCTCCATATGTTAATGTCTAATTAGTATTCAGTGCTGTGGATGAAAAAAATGCTCATGACATTGAATCATACTTTAATTAAGCAAGAATTGGTAAGCAACATCATTAGCTATTGAGAAATAATAGACGCGCATACTTAATATGCTCTGTACAGCAGCAAATCTCAATACATTCAGGCCTCGTTTGTCCATCCATCCATTTCTGGTAACACATTCTGTTCATCCCCAATAATAATGACAATCATATTTATCATCCTTGAATCTGATGCCCTCGGTTGACTGCCTCTGCATCTGTGCCCAACTTTTGGGCACGTCTTTTGGACCAATTTCACAACTAATGATGGAGACAGAGGGTTGTGGTAATGGTAGCAGACAGGCCAAATCTAAGCCACAAAGCTGGACTGGGTCTTGGGAGCCAGGGATGCAGCTAGTAAGTAAGTATGCCACAGGGGCTAATCCTACATTGGTCCAGAATGATGAACACATATTAGGGAAAGGTAACAGACCAGGACACGAGTATTGATGGGGCATCAGATGTTACACTGTGCCAGGTTACGTTTCATGGCAGCACTGGAGAGCATGTCTGTTGGCAGGATATTGCACCCTACAGGTAGCAGGTGTGTCTGCCTTCACATACTGTGTGCTCAAGGGAATTACACTTAAATGAAACTTTGCATATGATAGCACAAAATGTAATTATCAGTATAGCTGAATCTGTTGCAATACAGCTGTGGCATTAAATACATAGTTGTGATGAAGCTAATAGGAATTTTCTCTCTTCCCTTTTCCCCCTTTTTCTCCTTTGTGTCTCAACAGCAGCAGATGGTGAGGAACCAACTTCAGCAGGTGGGAATTTTTTATGCTTGGTAACGTGATTTCCATTCATTTGTTTTCATGCAAGTGTGTGTGTGTAGAGGGGGAGATAGAGAAATGGAACGAGCCAAGCCTTGTCCTTCCTTCATTACTCCTGAGTCTAATTCCTGCATTGACTCCCTGCTCATGCCGGGCCAGAAACAGTCATGATTACATCATTTAGCATCTCACTTCATAAGGCAGTCCTATTTAAACTTCCTCTAATAGTGTGAATCTGAGAAATGTCTTGTCTTTGTCTAGTACAGAGTTTTGAGATTGAGCTCACAGTCCAATTTGGTCCACTGATTGCTTTTGCATGACTGTTTTTCAGTGGAAATGAAATATGGTGGATACCTGAGCCCTTATCATATTTCTCAGGGTGTTTTTTTTTGTCCTTGTGTGTGAGTGCTGATTTTATAACCCATTTACTTAAAAGCAGCATTAATCCATAGCAATTCCAATATGTTTATTCTAGAGTTAATGCAGTGCATCCATAAATACATGCCATTAGCGTCAGTCTTGATGTACATTGTATTCACTCCCTATGGAGTGGACTGAGTGTATTCTTTTTTTGCTGGCTCCAATAGATGCTAAAGTACTTATCTCTGAATTATCATATAGATGTCAAAATCATATTTTTAAGGTAGCATATTTGGTATTCCAAAGTACTGCTTCTGATTATTGAAATAACTAATGTAACAAGAGTTTTATTACAAAAGCAAGACCACAGAGGACAACAGTAAACAAGAACCTGATTTATCTTCATCAGTGATGTAATTAAAATGTCACTTCACATCCTCGGGAAGTACTGCAGCTGAATATATAATTCCTCTTTCGTTGCATCCCCAACATCTACAGTAATTGTCTTTGTCTATGTTTCTTTCATTAATGTTAATCCCTGCTGGTTTGTTGGAGATCAAGTAGGTTAAAAAAAGAATGATTTATTTAGATTAGACATAATACAGCAGGAAGTACTTTGCTGCAGCAATGCAAAGAATGTGACACAATAGACAAACTAGACAGGCGTCTCAAGGGAATATGTAAGTCCAGTGACTGCTGTTTACTTTTGCTACTAAAATATGTTTGCCTGCTGTATAAACTACTTTTTGGCATCAGCACCTTGCTCTTTGCACAAATACCTATCGTAAATCCTTTTTTCCTAAAAGCATTTCAAAGCAACTTTTCGTGTATTATACTCACTTCAGATCAGAGCAGCGAGAACACGGCAAGAAAAAATAATTATGGAGTAAGAAAATGAACTGAATTAGGTATGACTTATGACCACTGACCTGGAACTGGACTGAGACAGAAAATAGGACAGAGTGATGAGGAAGGCCAAATTGCTCATGACAAGTTTGAAGAATCAGCTGCTATTTCACAGCATTTCATATCCTTACTCTACACAGTTTTCATACTTTGTCTCCATTCATACAAAGGGGGATATTGTTTGCTGTGTTTGGTCTGTGTTTATTATGGTTATTTGGCAGTGTATGAATACTGCCAAGTCATCTACACAGCTTCTCTTTAAAGCGGTGAGTTTATTCTATAAAAGTATCGTTTATTAAGCACCTGATGTGTTTTATGAGCAAAACCAATTTCATCAAAAAAAACCCACACGAACACGGCTGTTCTTTGATCTGCCTCGGTTGGAGGAATTTAAACTTTTAAGGCCTTTTTACTTCCATTACTAATTGCAGGGGCTGCATAAATTACACTTTAACAAGAAAACTATATATTTTCTGAATTCTGTTCGCCAAACCTTTATTGCACAGTCTCAGCGGTTGCAGTATGTGCAGTCAAAATACCATGGATACTACTGAGACCGAAGAAGCATATTTGAGCATATTTAATTGTAAAACTAACATTTGCCAAGTAGAAAGTTGAATATTAGCTCTCCAGTGAACAAGTTAGAGCCAGCCTTTGTCATATTTTCAGAAATGTTATTGGTAGACTGGGAATTTTATTTAACATATATAATTTAGATTTTGCTAATAAACATTGGAATTTTTAGAAAGTTTTTAAGAGACCCCTGCGAGAAAAGGTACGGCTCTGACATTTTCATGGCATTTAGTCTCTGACAAGACAGCCTTCATTTCTGCTTTTCTTTGGATCTTTCTAGAAGGATGGTGGTCTTCAATGTGACCTCTTCTTTTGAGTGACATATTCCAAAGCATTTTTGTTGCTGCACGAGTCTTACTACTTTTACCTTCAAGTGTATTTGTCTGACATTGTCAAATCCTGATGGGCGGAAATGGGAGAGTGGGAAGGGCACAGGAGAATAAAAGGCCAAAGACTCACTAAAAGCCCAACCGTCCGGCGGCTCACGCTGAGAGCCTCGATGTAATATTGGTGGTGCAGTGCCAGCTTCCATCAGTTGAAATGCAGGATGGATGCAGTGACCATGAGCCCATGAGCCGGTAAAGTCATCATACTAAAAGGCTAGGTTAAAATAGATTTGACGCAATTAGGGCATATCAGATGTCTCAGCAAAGTAGCAGGGTGCAGCTTCTGAGCTGAAGAGCTTAAATGTAAATTTCAAACTCTTGAGGCAGGTAAAATGTGTGCGTGTTTGTGCATGTGTGTGTGTTTTCTTTAAAAGATATTATGAAAGCCTAACAGTGTGGTTGAATCCTGGCTTGTCATTGTTAACTGGGGACTGTTTAAGATGGCAAAATTGGAACTGAAATTCAGAGTTGACAGTCACACAGCCATTTCAGTTTTGTTATTTACATGTCTACCAAATTTCACTTTTTTAATAGCAGTTGTTGATCTAAGTCGGGTAAGGGCTGCTCTGTGTTGCTGTCAAAAACATCAGGAGTTGCGTACTAATATTTATGGTGCCAGATTAAAAGCCTTTCCTCCCATGTTGCTGCACAGTAACTTTTTCCTTGGGATCAGCAGAAATATGTCACATGGGGACAATACTTTGCCCGACCTGCTCATAACCCTAAACAATGCATGTAGCCCAACAAGCAGTAGGAAGATATGGTAAATGGACTGATTCTTATATAGCGCTTTTCTACTCTCCTGGAGTACTCAAAGCGCTGCATACAACATGCCTCATTCACCCACACTCATACAAGCACTTCTAAACTCAAGTGCAACTAATAAACATTCACACACATTCACACTCCGATGAAGGCTTAAGAAGGCAATTTGGGGTTAATACATTATTCAGATTGTACATGTTGTTCTCTTTGAGTCTAGAAAAAAACATAATGAACGAGGGGCTCTGGGTTCATTCATGTCCATATAAATTCAACTGACTATTAATACCTCAAGCTTTTCAGCTCATCTGTGCTTTCTAAAAATCGACTGCTATCGTTATTATTAGCTGTATCACTTCTTTCAGGCTAAGCAGAGTATGTGCAAAGCATGAAATACTGTCTCCCAAATGCCTGAATTCTTATACATTTGGGGAGAGCTAATGCTTGTGACAGCAACTGTGACAGAGCACATACGTAGCCTTAAGCCTGAAAATGTCAAATCTCTGTGATTGATCTGCAAGGAAACAAAGGATGCTTTCCTGTGTTTAACCACTGGTCAGGATTTCACAACTGATTGATTGGCCTCTCTTTGCAGTCAGAAAAGAAATCACAATGCCCATGCTGGGCACAACACATCATGCATCAATCACTATGCAAGTCTTGGCTTGTACAGCAGGGCAGCAGCTAACATTTAAATTCCCAAGAAAGCTCCCAGTGTTTCCTCCTTGCATTATCCACAGTGTTAGGATAGTTACTATTAATCTGTAAAGATTTATTATTGTGCTAAAAATACAGTGAGTAATGCAATTATAACAAATTCATCTTAAGGTGTAATTCCTCCTAAAAAGTATTTGAATGACAGAGTCATCACTGCTGCTGAACAAGCTTTACTTTCTACAGCGATGTTATGTCTCAGTCACCCAGGCCCAGAGACTGGTTGGTTAAACCTCTGCCAGCCTCTGATTGGCGACTGGAGGTGTCTGCTGCTGTGTGTAGTCAATTGTAGTTTACATGGAAGATGGCACTTTGTCTGAAAACATACCATTTAATCTCTAAGCTGTAGTGAAACTTGAAAAAGTGCACCACACACTGAAATTTGTGACCGTCATCAATCAGCACATTTCAGACAGCGCAACTTTTACTTTGAAGGTGAGCAATTTTCATTTCCTGTTTTCTGCACTTTTAACAGTTTCACTGCTATTTTACCAAGTAGTTTGTGTTTGCGCACAAGTTGGCAAACAGTAACTCTGATTACAGTTACATTCATTTAGTGATTTAACTGAAACTACAGTGGCTTGCAAAAGTATTCGGCCCCCTTGAACTTTTCCACATTTT